AAGAGCGGCTGACTTGCTCCGTTACAGAGGAGAACTAACCGCAACGCCAGTTAAACGCTCGGTAGGAGACCCCAGTCCTTGTTCAACAGCACACAACCGCACCTCGTCATTTTTGGGAGAGCAAGGAATCCTCAACTGACATCAACACTACCCAGCTCTTCCACAACGCACCAAGGGATTTCGAAATAATTTGGAGAAGAGAAATGGGGAACTGAGGCAGCACTGGGAAACAACATCAACTGTCCACTGTCCTCTGCAGACCAACCCCCTTCTTCCCACACAACTTTACAAGATAAAGCACTGTAACCTCACCTAAAACACACCTATCTTTTAAACTGTGTAACTGCGCCACAACTCCTTTGCTCAATACAGTATTTCTATGCACACCCAAGACTATGTAGTTTTCCGTGAAAGAAAAAAAAAAAAAAAAAAAAAGACTGCCACATGACACCTAGAAGCGTTTATTTTATGCAACAAACTTAAATATGATCATGTGTACATGAAAGTGTACACTGTATCTATGCTGAACAATGCCAGGAAACATAATATTGATGCAACAATCTTCTAAAATAAACATTAAAAAATGAGCCTGGACAGGAAGACAAAATGCAAAACAGACTTACTTCCAATCAGCACAATGCTTAAAATTGAGAGCAATCCTAAACATTTCCAACTTTCCTTACAAAGCTGCCAAAGTCCAACTATTTTTAAAAATTGATTTTTTTTTTTTCTTTACATCAATAATAAAAATCTGGTGACAAACATTATAAAATCAAATGCTGGACTGTCTTTACTCCTTTAAAATTTAGAATATTCCAACAGAACCGCAGGAGTAAAAACACTTAAAAGTGATATATGTTTTTATAAAACAAACATCAATATGTACATTTATTGCAAATTATATTAAACTAAAATGGAGGGAAAATTAAAAAATGAAATGTCTACTTGCAAATTAATAATAATTTTAAGTGATTATTTTCCCACTCTGATAAAAATCAGAAAGCAACATTTATAAAATTGCCACCACATGACTTTTCATAGCAGGGAACTGAAATCTGTACATCTTATCTTTGCAGAAAAGTAGGCAGGCAGAAAGAATTATACATAAAACAGTCTCCAAAAGTAAAGCGAAAAAAAATTTTGTGATTTTTTTTTTTCCTCTAGTCTTGTTTAAAATCCATTCAGTAGACTTCTACTTTTTCTGTGAAACATGGGAATACCTGGCTCTAGGATCACGAATTTTCAATGTCAGTGTAAGGACCTCTTCTGACTTTCTTTAAAAAAAAATGCAGCATGAAAATTAATGGTGTAAATACACTTTTGAACTCCAGAATGCAGGAACTGGAACCAAGTGTTAAGCAATTTGCTTAATTATTGACTTTTCATAAAAAAAGTCTCTGGGGAAATAAGTACAGATGCTTTTAGCCTCTTTCTCAAGAGTTTCTGCTCTACATTTCCATTGAGAAGGATTAATTTCATGTGGAAGGGAAGCATAGTTTTCCTTCTGTTTTCAGAGCTGAAAGCTGTGTGTTTTGAAGTAATTTCAGTTCCTGTACAGGAAATTTCTGAATCCTAGTTTTTGCAGAAGCTTGGAGCGTGCCTTGATTTGGCCTTCATTTCCTCCCTTTTCGAGCAAGTTTTCTTTTTACCTTTTTAGGGGGCAGAAAAGGAAATAGAAGAAATAAAAGTTAATCATAAGGATATGGAAATTACAGCTGATTCTGAATCAAAATCCTACCTATATCATTTACGTTTTAGCTTTTCTACTCTTTCTACTGTGATTGTTCCAACTCCATCTTGTATCTTCTCAACAACTATATAATTAATTGAATATAACTGAATTTCCTTATTGTATAGCACAACTTCCTGATAAACTTGGAAACACACAAGCTGAATATTAATAGTCCCATAACTGAGTAATGTCTTTTCAGCATAAACAGAAATACATTTATCCATAGCTTTCACTGGAATTAGAGAATAAGAATGGTTCGCTTGTTCTAATTAACTGTATTTAATTATGCAGGTTTATAAAAATAGCCTGTCTTTCTTAAGAAGCAGCACTACTTCAAATGTTTTTCACACATTTACAGTAACTTGTACCTGCCTACTTAAAAGCAAAAAACCCCATCAGACACAGCTATTTTTACATACATTTTTCTAGAAGACCGACAAATTTCTTTTGATTCCTTACTGCATAAGCTACAATAAAACCCACAGAATTGTCCTATGTAAGATGCCTGCTACACCTTAAGGAAGCCTCCCTCTGCTATCTCTGTATCCTCAGTATCTTCCTGGCTGCTCCCACAGGCCTTAAAAAGATCCATTGCATTTTGGGAATATTCTGGACTCGAGTCTATCTCCAACAGTGAATCTCCATCACTTCCAAGCACCTGGCTTCTGAAAAACAATATTTTGGTATTTTTTTTCCAAGAAACACTGAGGTATTACATATTTTAAAGAAGCTATCTGATACAGGTAGGTTACTAAAGGCTATGGATAATGCAATTTGTTATAAAGCCTTAAAGAAAATTGATGTATAAAACAAGCACTGCAAGGCAATACACAAATATTACTCTTTTGAAAGACTGAACTATTTACTAGTCTATGAACCTTGCTGTGAGAGGAAAAGGTAATTCTTTTTGATTGAGGTTCTCTGCAAGATCTTCAATTTACACAATCGCTAGAAAGACACCATTCCAATGATTCTTTCTTCCTTTAGATTAATCTGTGACTTCTTCCAGCACACTGGTTTGCTGACCTTATCTTACTGCTCCACAACTCTGGACACTTGTGCATCAAAATTATTATTGTATCAGATTCACCTAAACAAATATCTCAGTGTTTATGTGCGTTTGTGGTTTGTCTGTGTTGGAAATCAAATCAACACATTTAAACACTACAGTATAGAAAAAGAAATAATCCTCCAACAGCTGTTTTGTCATTTACAGTTCCAAATTCTGCGTTTGATTTACTTAAAATACGTATTAAAATATTGTGAATATTAAACAAGCATAGACCCAAAAATCAGAAAAGAATTACAGTTAGAAATTACAATTTGTTCTGTTCCTTAAAGATGGTCAGTTTTCAAGCCTTTGTTATCAATGAACCGAAGCAGAGCAGAGCACTTGAATTTCTGTCTGCCTGGCATTAGTGAATGCACTGGAATACCCTCAATTCAGAGTTCTTTTGCACAGCAATGCTACTAAGGGGAACCAGGATGCAACAGACAAAAACCAGAATTTGGTGAAAACAGATTAGATTACCGTGTCCTGACAAAACAAATTAATTTCTCCAATTCCAGCTGCCCTGGTACTTACTTTGAAAAGTAGAACACAACACAATATATGTTGGGCCATGCTGTTTATAGATCAGTGTGGTTTACTTGTGCCGTTTAACTGTGCTAGATCTGTAAATTCAGGGCGTATCTTGAGACAGGAAAGGCCCACCCCACCCGCGTATTTAATTATTTATTTATTTTTACCTTTGTAGATCAATTTGTCTCTGTGCTGCTGCTGGCTTTTTTGCTGTGTCTTGCTGTTTTGGTGCTTTGGCATTACCTGCCTCTAAACTCCCTGGACTTTCTTGACTGACTGCTGCCCTTTTCCTTCCCCTGACAGGGGGTTTATTTGTTTCCTCATTTTTTGCAGTGGTACCCTGAGGTTCAGGTTTGGATGGACGCCCTCTCCTGGTTTTTGCCGCGAGTGATGGTCCTGTTTCATCTACATTTTTTTCTTCTGTTTTTTGATGAATATTCTCAGCACCAGATGCTGTTGCTGTTCTTTTTTTCCCACGTTCAGTGCTGTTTCCCTGTGTAGCCTGATCAGAATTAATCTCCTAGAAAATAAAAATCATGAATGTGAGGAAAAAAAAAAATTTCCAAAGGCAAACTCAAAACTGTGACCTCCCTCTGACAGAAACATGGGTTTATAAAACAGAAAGTAAGTGTTCTTATAAAAACACATCACATGGGCTTAGACCTAGTAGAACGTTTTACTAAATGGGATTTCGGACATTGACCTTACAAAAAGATTTTCTACACCCGGTGTAATGTTGATCGACGTATGTATCTTCCAGTTGCTTGAAAGTGAGATTAAAGTAAAACTAATAATCTCAGCTCCTCCCATGACGGTTCTTCTGGACAAGCTCCTTTTACTGCCTCTTTGACAACCGACAGGAGAGAACTGAAGAGCGAGAGTAATGATGCCAGTACAGCAAATGGTATTTACTTCAATATATGCAAATTTTGAGACCAGACTTCAGTAAAGGTGCAGATTAATAAAAGCCTAAATACAAGTAAAAGGAAAAAAACAAGGCTTGCAGGGAATAAAAGGGAGTAAGACCTAGTCACAAATGAAACTTGCTGTCTTTGTTAATTCTTTGTCATGTCTGAATAGGTATGGCCTACATCAACGCTTTTTCTCATTATATTGAACAAGGTAATGGAAGTGATTAAGTTTCACGAAGCGGCATCTGTATATGTGAAACAGAAAGGGTGGCGGCAGTGTAGGCCTCTACACAGAAGAGTATTCATATGGAAACAGAGCGGAAGCAACCGGATGATGGACCTTCATTTGAACACTAGCTTCCGAAAGGGTTAGGAGGAGGGGCAGAGAAAAAGGTGCTGAAAAAGGATGGCTGAGATGACTTAGCAACTTCAAACACATCAATTAAGGCCACTCACTATTATAAATGCTGGGTCTGAACCAAGGACCTTTTTGTTAAATATTCCACCATTATTTCTTTAATATTTAAATGTCAGGCATTCTCTGTAATCTTTATTACTGTTCTAGAAGCTCCATAGCAGACATTTACAACTTCTATTCGTAAGAACTCTACTCTTCGAAAATTTCAACTGCAGTCAGGTTTCAACAACCTAGAAAGCATTTTTGAAGCTTTATTTCATAAATGCTTTGCCTAACTTCTCTAACTTTTCAAAAGAACCCGATTTTGTGGAAAAAGAATTAAAAAAGGAACCATATATTGAAATCTAGAAAACATTTTTTTCTTCATTAGCTCACAGCTGCAAATATCATGCAGATGTTATTTATAAAGATTAAGAAAATACTAACTTTTCTATGTGATGATACAAACCCAAAACACCTCCTTATTATTCTAATTTCATCTAATCAAAAGAGGCTTGAGTAGATACATAACTTCTGTTGGATGGAAGTGACCTCTGAAAATCATCTAGTCAAACCTTCTGTTGAAAGCAGGGCCTCAGGAGTTATCCAGGGCCCTTGACAAGCCAAGCTGTGAACAGCAACATTCCACCGCTTTTCTGGACAACCTGTTCCAGTGTTTAATTCTCCTGACAATGTAGATTTTTGAAAATAAATACTTTTTTTTTTTGCTTGCATCCATATAGAATTTCCCCTGCAGCAACTTCTGCCTGTAGCCTTTTGTCCTGTCCCCATGCAGCCTTGAGAAGAGAGTGCTTCCATCTTCTCCATAAACTCCTTTTAGATATTGGAAGACTGATTACATCCTCCCATGGCTTCTCTTATGTTGAACAAACACAACACTTTCAATCTTTCTTCATACGACAGCTTCTCCAAGCCTTTGTATCTTTGTGGCCCTCTGCAAAGGTCTCTCCAGTTTTTAAATATCTGTGCTGAACTGGGGTGGACGCAGCATTCTGGACGCAGTATTCCAGGTGTGGCCTAATGAATGCCAAACAGGGCGGAACAATCACTGCTGCCAAGGCACAGTGCCGACTCATGCTCTGCTGGCTGTCCACTGAGATGGTCCCCCAGGTCCTTCTCAGCCAACCTACGCCCCAGCCAGGCAGATCCCAGCATGTGGTACTCCTGCTTGAAGTTTAGGCTATCCCAGGGGCAGGACTTCATACTTACCTTTGTTAAACTTCACGCAACTGTATTTTTAGTAAGTTAAAAAATTATTGTGGTTTAGGCATGATCATCTCTCTCTAAGGGGGAGGGGGGGGGAGCATTAAAAATCCTCAATGTTTAAAGCATATTTTAGTTGTGACACAATCTAAAAGATCTTTATTTCATGCTAGATGACCACTTGAGATTTTCCTGGCAGTATCTTCAGTTAAAGCTACAGGTGTCAACCTTCACTCTGAATCACAGCCTTATTGTTACTTATACTGGAAAACATAGAACAAAGGTGGGTATCTTTTGGAATTTCAGAAGAAGAGTAAATCCCTTCCCATTTGCCTGCGCTATTTTTGAGCACATGAGTTCTATTAATTAGCCTGGATAAAATAAATACTAGTTTTGAAAATAAGAGGTCTTCTATTGGGCTAGGAAAGTGATATAACTGCACGAAATGAAACCAGACATTAGCAGTTCCGCAGAGACCACCTGCAGTAATGTGTACTGAATAATTCCCTCCCCAATGCCAAGCTTATTATAGAGATACAGTCCATAAAATCCCCAGGCATACCTTGTTTTTCACAGGTTCTGTCTTTGCTGGTGTGACTGAAATAATCCTCACTGGATTTTCATCATTTTCACTGACCCCAGTTTCCGATATATCCGAACTTTGTTCCCTGGTAGCATAATTGAAGACAAAATAAAACCATATTATACAAAACAAAAGAAGAAAAATGCTTGTAATTATTTTTTTTAAATTGAAGAAATCAATGCAGACAGGCTAAATTAGTTTAAAAAAAGAGCTGAATTTGCCCGAGTCCACACTTACATTTTCTTTCACAGAACTGGGAAAGGTCTGAAAGGGATTGGCTACTCACTGAGCCAAATCTCTTATCATAGACACAATGCCCTATTTTTGCAAACTTAAGACGAGTGCTCTAAATGAGACTGTGTTCTTTTTCCAGACAGAAAAAAAAAATCTAACTGGTAAAGGCAGTGAAGAAAAATAAAGAGCAGCAGTGCTCAAACTTCAAGTTAATTTACACAAACACACAACAGTTTTAAAAAACCAGTAGTTAAAAAAATAATCACGATTATTACAGCATGTATCATGCATACTTACAGAACAAGTTCTGAATTATACTTCCCTTTGGCCTTACGAAATGTAGCAAATAAAGCTGACTTTCTCCACTTCATTTAACCCTTCATCTTAACCAGTTAATAAATTCCAAAACAAATTAAACAATCTTAAAATTTGAAAGTGTAAACTGATTGTCCAGATTTATGACAAATTTAAAAACTCTGGATCTACATTAAAAAAACACTTACTAAAAGAAAGACTGAATATTACAATCATATGTTGCATCTTTCCACTGAGATCCTGGTCCTCTTCAGCAAGCTCTTTTTTATTGTTCTTAATCTTAAATAGGTCAGAGTATTCAATCTACATCAAAAATGTTTCTCGTTACCAATCATGATTAATCCTAATTTATACAAAAATGCGAGTTGCAAAAATCTGCTCAGTATTAATTATGGCTGGCCTCTTCAATTAATGTATTTTCTGATGTAAAAATGTTATGAATATTAACCACCAAAATTTGAGTCAGTATAGTGTATCTTCTGTTTGTTGTATTATATGTAATTAGAGGCATGCCACACCTAAACACTGTACTGGATTTTCCTCTACTAAAAAAACCCCAGAACAAAAAGCAAAGATGGAGATTTCACTTACAGAGAGCTACTGTATTTTTTTTAAACTGGACAAAATGAAGACACTCTTCAAACACACAGGCACACACCTCAAATCATCTCCTGTTCCAAAACATGCAAGCACACCGGAGAACATGGAGTAAAAACAGTCGATGAAAGAATTTTCAAACTCCTGTACCTTGATCTGTTTCCTGCAGAAGAGCTCAGCTCAGAGTTTACACTGATATTGCTTCCAGCCTCAGATCCTGTAGTTCTAATATACGGTCTCCTTTCAGTTGCAGATAATGGTTTGTTTACTGTACCTAATACACCAGTTGGTTTTGGCTAAAAGAAAATGTTTAGTCTTAAAAATAGGAACTTCAGATACATACTTAATTTTTAAAATATTTTCCTGAGTATTTTAAAATACTTTTTCTGGATTAACAGTCTCAACCACAATGCCATCAGTTTAGAGCCACAGACCTCATCTTCAGTTAAAAAGCACTGTCTATCCTACTTCTATTTTGCATCCTTTAACAGCACTTCCATCGATTGCCTTGCTTTCTCTCACACTTTGAAGGGACAGCAGGTAGAGAAGTCCCAATGAAACGCAGAATGTTTGGTAATATTAGAGGACTGAAAAGGTGTGTCCACATCCTATGTTTGCAAAGCAAAGCACCTCTGGGAAAGGTTTTCCAAAATGTAACGCAGGATTAGGCTCACCACAACAGCAGAAAATCTATCACTTACTACACAGAAAGCCAATCTAAAAACATTTAACACCATCTATCTATTCTGGGGTTCTCCGGTACAGGGATGGTGTTTTAGATCTTGCTGTGGCTGGCGTCTGTTGACTGATTTGGTCACACTGGGTAAGCAGTAGGAAGTTTTTTATTTTGCCTCTGGAGAAAAGTCAAGGAAGTTTTTGTAACCGTCATGTCACATTCCTCATGTAATTTTACATTTCCTCAGAGACAAAGTTAATTTATTAAGACATTCTCGCAACAAAAATTAATTCCAATGTGTTGAAGTTATGAGGGAGCAGGCAGAGAGAGATACCACAGATGCTGGAAAACATTTGGCCAACAAAAAAGGCAACAATCTCTGTAGAAACGGCCTGTTACTGAGCATGTGTTCAGCAGCTGCATCATCCTAGTGCTAATACTGCACAACATTTACTCAAATATATTACAATGTTTTGTTTCCTCTATTTACTGAGTATTTTATTAAAAAGTAGGAAGCATTTGGTGCAACTAATGGGAAAGATAAAATGTTTAAGGGAGAAAAGAAAGTGCTTGTGCACAACCAGTAGGTTGCGAAATTTCTGGCACCTACTGCCACAAGAATTTGAGAAGGCAGAGCATCGGGAGGTTCAAAACCAGAGCAGACAAATCTGTGAAAAAGTCCACAAGCAGACGTCGAAACCAACCAGCACAGATGCAGAATCTAGCATTCTGTGACAAAAATTATGAATGCTGGGGGAATGCAAGGGACAGGATGTACTGCAGAAAGTGGCAGGACTTGCATGCTCTCCCTAATCATGGTGGTTTGGTCCCTCTGGAAAAACAACAGCAGGCCAGGAAGGGACCGTTGGTCCAAGTCAATGGGATATACTTAATACATCTGTGTTTTCCGAAATGGAAGTAGACAGAAAAAGCAGCAAGCGTTTGTGCATTCTGTCAGAGCATGGAATAAATGTCCATTTTCTCAGAACATGGAAAATTACCTAAATAATACTAGCTTGATACTGGACATCCCTACTCTACTTTAACAGAATGCATGCGAAAATGCTGTCTGAAATAAGCAAGATTTTTTATTGAAGGTTTATTTAGCTTTTCTCTAAATTGCCGAGTGCCTTATCGAAAGAGAAAAGTAGTAACTTTATACAACCAACTAAACCTGCTTCATAGTTACAAATGCTTCACTGATTATATTTGAATGTTATGAAAGGTGAATCAGTTACAGCAGTAGACAGATACACTCTTCTGAGGCTCTTCTAAGGATACTGAAAGCACTAGTCTGGCACTGGCTGCTGCTAAACCAGGAGGTCTTCTGTCTGCCCCCTCCCCTCCCAACGTGAGGCCAGCCCAGCTCACTGGGCAGCTCCCAGGCGGGTGTCAGAGAGAGAAGATGAAGCCAGGAGAGGCAGGATTCTGCCAGCTGAGCAAACCTCACCCACGTGAACTGCTCCGATAGCGGTAACTCTGTTTTTGGTTATTTCCAGAAGGATCAATTGTCTCTACCCTTACAATGAACAATTACCACAAAGTTCTGCTCTGACTAAAGACTTCAGAAACTAATGCAGTAACAATTAATGGAATACAGAACATGAAAATTAATAAATGCACATGAAATTTATACTAAAAACATGAAAAACGTTATTTATACCCATTTCTGTTAAACATCCAGCAGAAAGCTCAAGAAAAGAAAAAAAACAACTGTTAATTTTTTGAGCTAGACTAAAAAGCATTCCAACGTAATTTACCCAGAACCTCAGAAAGACAGTTTCAGAATCCCAAGAACGGACAGCAGATGGGAAAAAGGTATGCAAATAGGTTCTGGAGTGTATGATTGTTTCCTCCCTCCCGGTACTTTTTCTCTCCCGTGTGAAGCTATTAGCCAAATTGTCTAAAATGAGATGTTCAAAAGTACATAGACATTAGCAGCTAAATTTAACAGCATTAACAGCTATATTACAAATATTAAAATAAAAAACTTAAGACCTCCAATGCTAGTGGTGTCACAATAAGTATCTGCATCATAACTTTACACCTCGCTTATTTGAATAAAGGAAAAACCTATAGTTCTGTGAAAAACTGTAGTCAGTCAAGAACCTATGCCTCACCGCACAGGTTGTGTACTCACCAGGCAGTATGTTAAAGGCGTTAATTATGCCATCAAATAAAAAAATCACAAATTATTGTACACAAGCTCTTAATACAATTTTTAAACTACAGCATTCCAGGACATTTAATAAAATCACAAGTAATATTCAAAGAATTGTAACTTGTCAAAATACAGTACCTTTCCTGTCAAAAGAATCACCCTTGTCTCTTCTGAAATGTAATTCCTGTTGTTGCAGAAATCCTGTATAAAAAAATAAAATAAAACTCAGTTCGTGTTTGATCTCTCAATCTTGCTGTTGTTTTTTGTATATACGCAACTGATGTCTCAAGCTAGATGCTACCATCAAGTGCTGCAGACGCTTCATACCATGCAACCTGCTGACAAATGAACCAATCTAATAAAGATAGGTCAAACTAGTATTTTAAAGGAGATTTGTAGCGAGCATTACTGAATGACAGTATGCCATACTGGAAGTTGGGATTAACATTTTTTCTGCTTGAATGACATGGATCATTTGAAGTGAAGCAAAACTGCCCTCCCTGATTTTTTCACTTGCATCTTTTTAATGGGAAGTTCAAAGAGAGGAAAAGAGGTGGTGTTTTCTCTAAACAGGGTTTGAAGTTGCTACCTTTGTCACTCTGAGTACAGTTTACACAGACCAAAACACTAAATCTGAATGCAGTTAGCTATCACACACACCAGCTCCCTGTCACCACGCATCTGCCATTTCACAGTTAGAGCAGCAAACTAAATTTTGCTAGAAAAGCTATTAATGAACAGTCTAAGACACTGAAAAACGTGAAATGCATTCTTCAGTACAACCAGAACATCAGGTCTGGTCCAGAGAATTACTTTGGTTCCACTTACGCTTTTCAGAAGTATGCCTCTCCAACAACAGTCGTGCTATTGCTGACAGTAGAGCTGTACTCACCAATACTATTATTAGCCAATAAGAGGAACAACTTGCACAGCAAGCAAAATAGCCAAGCAGCTACTGACAGATATAAACATACCACGGGTAACATAAAAGATGGTCCTTTTTTGTCTGCTTTGCATTCTGATTCAGATATACAGTCAGAATATACATATATTCTCATGTATTCAGAGGCATTTGTTAAATAATGAAATGATCAAGCAATACATGCTAATATATCAATATTTATTCTAATTAGCTCTCACCTGGTTACAAACATTTCTGGCACACGTTCGTAAAACAGACAGCACTGCATACAGTTGATATTAAAAAAAAATAATGGCTGAGGCTAAAATATATACATTTTCCCAGTCACGATGTTACGGAGATAACCAGCTCTCAATTATAAAAAGTATTTCCCCTTATTACTTCAGAAATTAAATTTACAAATTTACCTTTTCAGGTTGTGTAAAAAATTTGGTTGGCAATACAGGGTCCTTTGGTGAATCTGCATTGCACAAAGCACTTTTGCTGTTGATTACACATAGGGCTACATCACATACTGTATAAAGTTTCTGAAGAAAAAAAAGAAAAGTATGTTTTAGGAAGTAGTTACCGTTTTTACAGTGTAAAGAGAATGTAGCTTTTAAAAAAGTTTAATCTATGTATTAAAATAACCACTACTAAGGACATATTTCATAACTACATCATTAACCATAATGTTGGCTCTTCAAACACATACAGAAGTCCCCATTTTTCACATGATGCTATTTAATAAAAATTAGTAATATGTTACATGCCTATGCTGTATAACAGCAGCTCTTGCTCAATCAAATCACCATAAATGGTTTCTCATCTCTGCTAGAAACTAATAGGTTTAACAGTAGCCATACAACACAGTATTTCCCCCAAGAGCAGAAGACACTTATGTCAGGAAACTAGGCACTAGGAGTTAAAATAAGGTGGGCAGGCAGTAACAGGAATATTTAACAAATTCTGTTTGTTAACTTCATTAGGTATTGTGTGCTGGATAAGGTCAGCAATGTTCTGAAAGAATGAGACTGGCAACACACAGACAATGCTTGCAATTAACACTCTCTCTAAAAGACCATAAAAATGTCTGAGCTAGTGCTTTCAGATTTCCTGCAAATCCTGTTCATCAACTGCTTGTGAAACCCTCAGATCATCACCCAACAGGTATATGAATGGCATTTCTTACTTCATTTGCCTTTGGCTCATCAGGAGACTGAGCATCTCGGGTAAGCTTGATGTTTTCTGCCATCTTTTTCATGAAGGCATGGCTGTTGTTCTCATTCTTTGTCATTAAAACTTCAAGCATGAACCACAGGCACCTAAAAACCCACAAAACCACAAGCAATTACATTCCAGCTTTTACAGCAATGTCTTAAAAATTTCTGTCAGCTGTAGTAGCTTTTTCTTAAGAAACCACAATCAATTTGAAGATATCATATACAGGTAACACCATCTGAAGGTGTAAAGAGTCTAGGCCTTTAACACCCAGAGTCTTAATCTGTCAAATTAGTGTGCTTCTCTATTATATCTGTAAACACTGGCCAAACAATCACCTTTTTTCTCTTCCAAATATGAACAGAAGCAAGAATTCTGGTGCTACCATGATCTAGATGAAATTCCGTAATCACTACCTTGAGCTATGTCCATGTTTCTATCAACAATGTACCATGACCACACTCAAAACAGGCTTAAACAAACCATACTGCTGCTGCACAGTTGTTTAATACTGGAACTCACACAGGAGAGGAGTTCCAAAACTGAACAGATCAGATTCTTGCTAATGCTTCGTATGGGAGGAAAACAAATCCTTACAGGCAGACATAATGGAATTAGCTTACCAAGTTTTCTTTCTTTAGATTGAGTTTATCTATAGGGAGAACCCATTATATTTTGATGAACAGTTTGGTCTAAAAATTTTTCCATTATGCTATAAAGCAGCACAATTAGTCTGTCCACAAGCTTCAGAGCTGCATGTGGCCAGAGGGTTACTTAGTTACTTAGTTAGGAAAGACATACAGGTGGGTCTGAGAAATGCAAACTTTGCCAGTAACTAATTTAATTCTGCATATCTGGAAGAGAGATTACTTTGTAGAAAGAGCCTAATAAAAAAAACTAGAAAAGCAGGATGACAGAACATTAGACTTCCCTGTCCACAAAAGCCCCAATGTTCTTAACCAAAACAAATTAAAGAATGTAATGCAAGAGATGAAGGAACATTCCTCTCAAAAATTCAAAGTAAAACAGGGTTGTGCTCCATCAAAACACTTAAATAGTTATCTGGTGTTCAAATAAAGTTATATGTCTATATTCTGACTTGCGTCCAAGAGCTACAAAGGCTATAAGTAAATAAACGTGTTAGATGCCTTTACATCTATCTGTTCACTATTCTCAAGAACCTAAATGGGATGAATACAGGACCAATAATATACCACACTGACCCAACTTCTCCAAAACCCTGTGTTGTCCAAAGATTACTACTGAGGACAAATCTTACTCTGGTAATTCCAGTTAACATATGTCAACTTCAATTGCTTGATTTCCTCACTAAGTCAACAAATTAAATAAACCATTATCATCAACCCTGAACAAGACCTTTCCAGGGATTTCCTATAGAAAAATATGTACCTAGAAGAACACAGTCACATGAAGTACGTTCATTCTCTGTATCCATTTCAGCATGTTTGGAATATGAATTCAGAGGAAAAAGATACTCTCTCAAAATAAACAAACTCAAACCCAAATATACCTCTGTAGGACAAGCTTAAAAAGCTTCATAAGAATAAATATCACAGACTATGGTTAAGGAACTTGCTAAGCACGTATTCACTTTATGTGACTGTACTTAGGTCACACAAAACAAAGACAAACTAGGGAGGCAACTACGAAACACACTGCCAGTCTGCTTTTCCAAGCATCTATGTTAACACTTTAAAGTGAAAACTATGACTCTCAGAACTCTTGAAAGAAACACTGTATTACTTTATATGAGAAAAATGTTTTGCATTTATCTCAGGAGACTCTTCAGGGAAATATTCCTGCCAAAATTCCTGTACAGAGTGTTTCTTTGTTTGGAGCAGTCCTCTCTGGCTAGCTCAGCCAGCCTGTGACAAACATGAGGGAGGAAATTCGACAACAAAGGAGAGCTATACAAGGGGTGTCCAAAAAAGCTCTGTGCACTAGAAAGCACTTCTCAGAGAAAGTATTAACAACTGCGAATCAGAACTTGTTCCATGCATTTTGGATAAAGTACACGCTGGAGAGTGCTTTCAGATGTTGCCAGGAACAGGGAGTCCTGGGATAAAACGCAGACTTGATGATTAGGTAAGAAATTTTAACTGACTCCAGGTTCTGACCAGGTGTGAGTCAAGTAACTCACAAACCAGAACAAATAAAGTTTTTCATTTAAAGAAAGAATCAAACTTGGACTCTTGCTGGTGAAGGTGCAAAAAAAATTAAGATGTCAACTGGTCTATTTGTGCCAAGAATGAACTGCTTTTATGATGATGTATATTGTAGTATGTGGTTATGCATGCCTTTGTAATACCAAAACAATATAGCTCACAGTTCCACCAAAAATAAACACCAGAAAAAAACAAAACACCCAAACTAAAGATGGGGGTGGGGGGGGAAGAGTGTGCTTTAAAATTTTTTTTTAAAGTGTTAAAATTTAACTGTTTTTTAAAATTCATCACAAGACACAAAGGAATACAAATGTTAGACTTAAGTATGAAAGATTATCTGAGGCATACAAGAAGGTCTCAAACTGGAAACAGCACAGAAAAAGCTTCTGTATGACAGGCTTGTGTACAATAACCTGTGTTGAATACATTAAGAAGCACTGAGCCTGCACTGCAGATGTACAGTGCAAATGATCAGTCAGCAGCAAACTTAGGGTTGAGTTCTAGTAGATTTGCACAGAGAGGGGGAGAAAAAGAGAAAACAGTTTCCAGTAAAGCAGAACTCTGACCTAGCATCAGTGGCATTAGGTTTTCAAGTCTTGGAGAAGCTCTGTGTTTTGTAAATCCCAAAATAACTGAACTGACATTGCTGGGCATCCTTAAGTGCCCACAGTCTCCCATGATATCCTCCTGGGGAAGCTGAGGAAGTGTGGGCTGGATGAGTGGTCGGTGAAGTGGATAGAGAACTGGCTGAATGGCAGAACTCAGAGGGTTGTCATCAGCAGCGCTGAGTCTAGTTGGAGGCTGGTAA